AAAAGTTATTCAGATAACTGCTAATCACGTTTTATAGAAGATTTATATTTAATGTACAAAGCTAGGAAAGAAATATAGTTATCTTCAGTATTTAAAAATCACTTAAATATCAGTCATTAACAAAAAGCACTCCAATAATTTTTACTAGTTCCAAGAACAGTAGTTTCTTTAATTTTAGTTCAGTTCTCAGAAGTCATGTATTTTTGTTCTTTTATTCCTTAAAAAAATTCTCTTTGTAGTCTTTAGGAGAGAATAATGCAGAATTTCCTTAAGCAACAACCATTTTTAAATCATCTGCTTAGTTATTATAATTAAATTACAAATGGAAAGATAAATGAATTATAGTGATTCTGTTCCATTTAACATCATGTTTGTATTAATATTTCAGGCACACAAATTATTTTGAAATTGAGAATATGACTTACCCCATTCTCTGTATCTTCCCCATTTGGCAACTTGATTTATAAAGGACTTTTGCATGCAAGTAGAAATATATGATCCATCAAGGTATGAATACTCAAAAACTATTCAAGTCTATTGGAAAAACCATGAAGTCTACCAGTGGAATAAAATAATTACCTTCCTTAGACTATTATATATTTATGTAATTAACATGCATAGAAAACAGTATATATTTAAAGTGATTAATGAATGTATGTATAAAAAGGACTGGAAAACTAACATTTAATTAAACTTTTTATTTTCAATCTTAACTTTTTCAAATATCTCTGATAAATTATGCTTCTATGTCTCAGAGTTTTATATCACTAATTTCCCATTTGTGGTTTTTGAGAAAAAAATAAAGAAGATTAGAAAACTATTCCAACATAGAAAGTTAGTGATGCGTTCTAAAGTGTAAACAGATAACTGGAAGTAATACATGTTTATGATTTTCTTGAAAATGCAAATTAATAAATCAGCTATTTTAATAATTTCCAGTATCCATTTTTTCTAATGATGTGTCTGTCACAGTCTCTGTGGACTTGCAGGTGGTCAAGTAAAACTACAGTTTTTCTTACATCCAGAGCATGAATAAATATTATCAACTGAACAATTTAGAAAACAACTTGAAATTTTTCCAGGAAAGAGATACATATATCTATAAACATTTCAAAAAAATTCCTAAAGAATGCTTCTAGAAATTATCCAAAGTATTAATTTTGTTTCCAACACTTAAGAAGCACATTTATAATATTTTTGGGTACTTGAAATCCAATTTAGGACTTCATGCTTCCCAGGCAGGCACTGCACCACTGAGTTAAACCCCCCAGCTCTGATCTGTTTTATTAGGGTAAAATTATCTATTAACTATTCAAGTACACCCCTGTTAATCTCATTTTTAAAATTCCAGGAGAAGAAAGGTAACGTGGTCTCTGCTTACTTTGCTCATTCTTTTGAGAAATTGCAGCTCTGCAAATCATATAAAAGTGATTTTGGATCATTACAGACTTGTACTTTATGTGGATTGTTTCTGTGTTTATGGAAGCTCTGTAAATTCGAACAGCAGAGCCACAATCCAAAAGTGTCAACAACCATTGTTTCTTCATATTAGTGAACAATGTGAAGCAGAATTTCTGACATAAGTACTCAATCATTATAAGTAGTTTTTCATGGTATAAAGTCACATACAGTGTGTTTTGAAATTTTGATAAAAGATATTGAGAATACTGGTGGCCAAGTATTTTTTAGATCAAGTGGAAGTACAGACAATCATCATTCAAAACCTGCATATATGCACACATACAAAAGAGAAACCTAATAGGTTAACAAAGACTAAATTTTGGAAAGTTTGATACTGTTGAAAATAACAGCGCTGTATACTCTTTTGAGAACACTGATAGTTCTTTATTTTTATCCACATCATGCAATGAAAACACTGCAGGGGAGAATAAATTCCTTGCAAAAAGAAATATGATTTCTTGATGTTTTATCCCTGTGAAATTTCACTGAGGTTTTACCGTAAATTGCAAGATACATCTTGAGGCAAGAATTGTGTTTTAGTCCCTTAAAAATATCTTTTTAAATAGTCACATTTTATACAGCATTCCCTTAGTTTTCCTTTTTAAAATGACTATTTTCATCAGGTTTGATCAACTCCTTCAATTTGCACATGCAGGATGCATGCATGAACATGTAAGAATACTAACACAAGTAGATTTTGGCACATCTAACATCTATTTCAAATATTTCACAGTAATACAAGCAATTTAGGTGCTGCTTCTCTCTAGTTCCTCCAGAAAAAATAATTTATACTTTAATCACTTTTTAATTTATGTTTTATACATTCAAATCTGGCCTTCCTGCATAGCAATTAGCTTTTTAATAGTATTTACCACTTAGCTAAATCGCATAATACTGCCTGTTTCAATTTTCCATGCATGCTCTGACTGTTGTCATTACCTCAATAAGTAAACAGAACGTTTTAAATGACACTTCTTAAACCTTCTTATAAATATTTGGTAATAGGCTCTTAGTATTACATCTATCAGCACCTATTGGGAATATCTGTCATTTGAACTAAAGAAAAGTAATCTGCCTTAAGAATTAATCACTGTAATTAAAGCAATATCAATCATGATAGCATTACAATAATTTCAAAGAAAACTATTTGGTGTAAGCATTTTTAAACCACACATTGAAGCTTAACATATTCAGAAGTACAATGCACATCTTTTCTAATGCACACATATAATAGACCACAGTAATCAGCAGAAGATGTCATATTTCCTAAGCAAGAGCGATCTCAAATATTCAAGATTACACTCTCATCTACTGAAACATGACAAAAATGATTTCACAGAATATTTAGCCTAATTAGCATACATGTCTAAAAGATTACATAGCATGAACTGTATGAGGTTTTACCATCTTGCAGAAAGCTAGAATGGTTAAATTGAGTGAAGCGCACCCAAACGGCCCTGCACTACCTCAAGGAGAAGGAAAGTATCTGTTTTAAATTTTCATAGTCCACATGCCTCTATCCCTAGATTGAAGACATCAAGTAGAGAAGACATCTAGATTATCACTGATCTGATGACCTTATCACCTACACCATTTGCACAAACCTCAGAGAAAAAGCACAAATCAACATGATCTTCTCTAAGAAAATGTATATAGTGTGTTATAAGTTATTAAAAATTTGACTTTTACATAAACTAGTACATGATTTTGAGAAAAAATTAATTTAAAGCACACAATTGATATGTTTTTCCCATAATCACATTTATAATTAAAATAAATCAAGGACCTGATAAAATAAATGGTAAAAATACAACAGGATTTTGAATAAAAATCAGTGATTATGCTTTTAAAACATAACATGAAAAACTAAAAGTATCTTAATAAAGTGAATTTTGCCAAGGTTTAGCAATTCCCAATTGTGGGTATATAGATTTACATTTTCCTTCTTTTGACACCCAGTCACTATGTGGCTAGGAAGCACTGTCAGAAGCAGAGAATGCTCTCATCGCATGTCCCCCAAGGCTCTGAAGCAGCCCTGATAAAGTATGGCAGGATTGCTTGATGTGAGCTTTCACTTTGGAGGTAAGGGTTTTGTTCTTTCTCTAAATACACCCATTTCTGTCCTGTCTGAGGGAAAGCAGTTGCCTTCACAAAACTAAAAGACTTTGAGGGCTTCATATTTTCCTATCATTGAAACTGAAAATCACATCCTTATTATCTTGCTCTGTGACAATATTAAAAATACCTAAAGATTTATCCATATTTTACCTTGTCCAAATCTTCTGCAGACGTGAACTAATTATTATGCATCTCTCAATAGAAATGGACTCTTCTGAATGGAAAATATTAGTAGGGAAACGGGAAAGAGGCTATGAATGACAAGATGAGTAGAAAAAAAAAACATCAAATATTGAAAAAAATTCAAAGGGAAATTTACCATCAAGGAGAGAGGCCAAAAATCCCACTCAATTTATACATGATGAATCCATTTGAACAAGAATAGAAATGATAGATCAGGGCAAGAGTAAGATATGTTTTCTCACCTTGTGAGATAAAAGGCTCTCAATTTTGACTAAAATATCACCCAAAGTAAATTCTCTTTAGACAAAGAATATTTTGCTGTATTGAAGTATTCTGCCCTTTACACATCCCTATCCACTTGAATTATAGAAAAAAAAACTACAGCATTTACATGTTTAGCATAGAAACAATTTTAATTGAAATTACATTTTCACTTTGTTAGAATTAGGAAATAAGGCACAGGATAAGGTATCATATTTGGCACTACTAAGAGATTCCTCACCAAGTAGATAGGAGGCTGCGGCATGAGGATCATAAGTAAGGACCCAGGCCTGGGCAATTTAGTACTTTCATGAGAATTGGTTTCAAATTAAACTAAAAGGGCTGATAATGTGAAGATGTAGCTGCATGTAAAGGCCCTGGGTTCAGTTTCATGTGTGTGTGTGTGTGTGTGTGTGTGTGTGTGTGTGTGTGTGTGTATTTACATACAAAGACAATTTCCTGTCTTTATAAAGCTGAGATAATCAGTAATAATTAAGGATGCTTTCAAGATTCCAACATTGACAGAGCAACTGTACACCACCAATGCATCTCAGCCATGCAGTGTATTCCAGGCCTTCAGCAGGTGAATGAAAAATCCCACATATCATAAAATACCTGCATTATTGGAATTTTTCTAATTTCTCAACAAACCATTTTTAACCATCGTGTGTTAAGTTTGCGTAGAAAGGCCTATACATCCATTTGGAGGGCCCTGCTACTCTAGGAGTCTATTTTATCAGAAACAACACTTCCCAAGCCATGGAAATAATAATACCTTCAGCTTCCAAGGAGAAGCACAGTAATACATTCATACAAACACACATCAGCCAGAGCGAATATGTGTGCATGGGATTCCTCTGTACACGCCTCTGTGCACGCCTCCAGTCACCATTCTCAGCAGTATTTGCTGCCGTCAGCAGGGCACTGTGAGCACACCCCCTCTTCTCCCCCAGCCCTCTCTGTTTAAACCTTCTTACCTCTCTTCCTCCTTGTGCTGACTCCAGTCTTTTCAAGCTTAAACCCTAAAAGAAAAACACAAATATATCGTTTTTGATGAAGAAGAACACACGTATATCGGTGTTGACAAAGAAGTCACTTATAATTAATGCTACTGCAAACAATACTGCACATAAAAACCCTTCTGCATATAGATATATATCTCATACACATTCGGGATGTGTGTGTGTGTGTGTGTGTGTGTGTGTGTGTGTGTGTGTGTGTGTGTGTGTATGTGTGTGTGTGTGTAGTATATAAAGTAGGTCTTCAAAAGAGGCAATGCATTTCTTGATAAGTCTAAAGAACACACATGAAAAGAAACAGAATGCACCTGTTTTGGCCAAGCTTTCCTACTACTTGTGAGACCCAGACCTAGAGATGCCATTTGCACAGGGGGTAGTGCACAAACTCCGTGCTAGGTCAGCAAACTGCTCCCTTCCTCTCTCCTCTGCCACATTTGAGGCCCCAAGATGGAGTGAGGTAGAGAAAAACAGCAGCCGTGATAGTACTGTGATTGTCTAGAAAATACACAGGACTTTAGTTCTAAAATAAATGATTCAAATATTCAGGACTTAGTTTAGGGGAGTTTTCCACTCCCCTAAATTAAAACTTTTCACAGTAAAAAAAAAAAAAAGAGAGAGAATCTATTGAACTCCATAATATACACTGCACTTAATTAAAAAGGAGAACAGTTACTCTTGTTCTTTTTAAGGTAATTGCTAAATGGGCTGTGACCCAGGGTGGTGGACTACAGAGATCTACTAATACTCATGTATCCAGCCATCTAGCATCTTTATCTATCATCACTGAATTAAAATTATAGAGAGTAATGTATTTCTCTAAACTCAACAGAAACTTCAGTCATTTCCCATGTAGTAGTGTTGGATCTTAGTTACAAATAGTTACCTTACAATACTTTATTTTATTCTATATTCCTCTTTTTTCCCACTTCTTCCCCTGCTTCTACTTTTCACCCTTTTGCCATGTTATAGTGCATACTTTGTACATGTTTGAAATGAGCCAGTTATCATGGAGACATTGGGAGTATAAAAATAACATTACAAAAGATAGACAGTGGGCAACATGAAATTAGCTTGTGGGGGAGAATTCAAAGAATTGCAATAGATTAAGTACTTGTACCTATTCTCTGTAAAGAATGTGGATACTGTATACTCTAAACAGGTACTAATAAAAATTTTAAATAAATTAATAGTCTGTAAAATTTAGAAGGTCCTTATTACAAACAAATGTGAAGACAAAGCTTGAGGAAAATGAGGTAGGGTCTGTACAATTTTGTCTGATCACAAGAACACAGGGGCCAGATTGTCTGGGAGTGAAGATTCCACAGAGGAGCTCAGAGACGACCTCTGTGAACGGCCACAGGGGCTGAGGAGGGAGAGGAGAGAGAGGAGGCACTAAGTACCGTGAACAGTTAGTCACAGCCCAGTGCCTACATTACTACCATAGCATCAACACAATTTATTCTTCAGAGATAATAACAGTGTGGTAGCTCCCATGCGTTTTCCATGAAGATTAATGAGATAATGTGTGTATAGCACTCAGCAAAGATTCAGGCATTAATTCATATTTAAATGGCAATTATTACCTTCCTTTGCCTCTCATTTCTTTAATTGTATCATCACTATTGCACACAGATGACATGTCTATGCATAAGATCAATTTGAGAAAAATATCTGTGGGTTTTGTCTTTTATTTGAAGAATGCAAATAATGTAGACAATAGAAGAAATACTATTTGTATTGATCAGATAAATTTAAAATATTATTCATGCACATTTCTTTGATACTTTTGTGACAACCATTCCAAGCATTATTTTCATAACATTTTTTTGGAGAAAATAGCTGACATTTCTTCAAATGGTCTTTCTGTCCATTTAATTTTGTAAAGTATTCTTTTCTATGTTCTTCATTTTCCATATTTTCTATGCTTACATCTTCAAATTAATTGATCTTTTCTTCAATATTGTCTAATCTGCCATTAATCTTATTCCTTAAAACTTTTATTTCTTAGTGTTACATTTTATTTCTTGTTTTATTATTTTCCTATACATTCTTGAAATATTTATGACAATATTTTGAATATCTTGTATATTAATTATATCTTCTATTCTTTCTATTTCTGTTCCTATTTACTGATTTTCTCCTAGTGATAAATCACATTTTTTCTTGGTGTCCAGTAATTTTTGTTTACAAATATAGTGAACTATATTTAGTTTAGTGCTACATTATTTTGAATTCCCTTAGAGAAAATTATAATTGGCTTCCAAGGACACTTTTTTACTAGAACTGATTTGTCTGAAACTTGGTTTTATTTATTTTTATTTTTCTTTCTTTAAATTTTTTTGTACATGTTGCAATGCAAAACTATTGAATTCACTGTGGGAGGTAGGTTCATGAACATGACGTTAATGTGTGTGTGTGTGTGTGTGTGTGTGTGTGTATGTGTGTGTGTGTGACTAATTTATTGTCTTTTGTTCTTGTAAGACATGGTTTCACTATGCAGTTCAGGCTGGACTTGGACTTGTTTTGTAGACGAGGCTGGCCTCAAACTTTCAGCAATCCTCCTGCCTCAGCATCCTTAGTGCTGGGATTACAGGCTTGTGCCACTATGCTCAGCCCATGTTAATTCTTTTTTCATCTTCTTGCTCTCCCCTTTGCTCCCACTCTCTCCATTTTTTGGTCTCCTTCTGTTTTACAAAAGGTTTGGTTTAAGGATTTTGAAGGACATAAAGCTGAAATAGTTCCATAATTAATTTATCCCCATTACTAAGCTTGACCCTTCTGCATTCTTTCCTGAGTACCCCATATACTCAAAATCCACTCCACTGGCTGATACGAAGCCACAAGATTCCCAGGCTGACAGAGGTCTATGAGGTCTTCAGTTCTTCGGTAATTACTGTTTTCTAGCAATTATTCTTTTCCTGGCCATGTGAAATTTCATGCTACTTACTATGTGGAGTTCTCTATGTAAATGAAGACTCCAGGGCCAAAGAAGACCCAAAGGAACCCCTGCTCTCACTTCCAGAGCATTTCTCTGTGCAATTTTTTCTTGTCTGGTAAACTGCCCTCAAATTCTAGTGTTATTGCTCTAGTCCAGCTTTGAAGCCTGTTTTCTAAAGTACAAGTCTGAAGGTCGGTGAAACTCTCTTTGGTTCTCTCTAAACAGAATGTTCTCAAAACCACTACCAGGCAGACATTGAGGTGTTGCAAGGTTCTCCTTATTTATCTCCCTTCTTTCAGAGACTATCAATGCTCCCACACCAGCTTTCTGCATCTGGACATTGTGCCACACATCTATCCTGTTTTCTAAGCAGCATGGCCAAGGGGGAAGTCTTATAGACATTGTCCCTTTGTGAATGGAAACAGATGTCAAGGAAAGTATTTTTTTTTCCCAAGGGAGGAAACTGGCCCTTTCAAAATTTGAATTATGAAATGTGGTATGTTTAGTAGTAATAAAAATGTAAAATTTAAAATTATGATTTCAGAGGCTAAATTGGGAGTTTATCTTCAGTAGAATTTCTTCCCATTCATACCAGTCAAAATGTTTAATGAATAGATATTTTTTGAAATGATGAAATAGGCAATTTGGGGAATTATTTGAACTTCTCCCTCCTTTTACCTATCAGTATCAGTACCTATCTCTATCAGTACCTCTCAGTACCATATATATCAGTATCATATATATATATATATATATATATATATAGAGAGAGAGAGAGAGAGAGAGAGAGATTGTCTGGTTCTAGCTCTCAGAAAAACTTAAAAACATGAGCAGTAAAATTATTCACACATATATGTATATATTTAACCAAATCAATCTATACTTAAAGATAATATAGGTGACAAGGATAAAGAACTTGTAAAATTGGGAAGGGATGAAGAGTGCAGGCAGGGGAAGGGTAAAGGGTATATAAAAAGGATCAAAATGTGTTATTACGTTCATGCATCAAAGTAATCATTATGTACTGCCAGAATACTAATATAAATAAGAAAAACAAATATTTTCTAAATTCTAATTGATTTGAAACCAACTTCTTTATTCTTTAACAGTGTAGATGTATTATGTGCCCAGCAGGTTTGGGGTAAATCATAATTATAAATTATAAATAATCTGGGGGCTGTGTTTGGAGAGCAGGTATTTCCCTCACTATACATACTTTCTCATGAGAGATTATAAACTCTGCATTGATCAAAATTAATTACCTGAGACCAAACCAAAATGTTATACATTGTAGGTAGAGAAAAAATTACCCTGAAGCAAAATGTTCTGCAGTGTGCTAAATTAAGATGGCTTAGTAGGCATTAAGAGGCAACAGCTATTAGCTGAAAAATAGGATTTCCTACCAAAATCTCTCCTATATTCAGCCTTCTGCATGAATAGCCACAGTAACTGTTGGACTAAGAGGTCAATTCTGTCCAAAACTATGCATGAAGGGAAAGATCTTCCCCTTCCTAATGATTACAATCTCTTCCAAAATTATCTTGTGAAAAATTCCCGTTTCCCTGTTTAAAAAAAACAGAGATACATTATACAGTATCTTTACATTAGACGATTTATTTTCTAATGTAAAAAAATACAAAGATATGGAATAGGCATTTTATTTCTACTGCTACAGATTTGAGTTAATTTTTCTTAAAATATAGAAATGCAACTTTATAAAATCATAATTATTATTAAGATAATTCAAATAATGTTGTAACTTTTGAACATTTTGCCTTAGCTGCGGAGGCCTAAGAAAGAAGAGAAGCTACTTTAAATAACTTTTAGTTCAATATATGCATTTGATAGAAAGGGTGGTATATATCATGGGAACTTGATTCATATTAAGTTCATATATATATATATATATATATATATGTATATATATAACATATTCATATATATTAATGGTTTGTTGACAAATTCAGAATTCATATTCTGGCCATTAGTCATAAATCTAGAACTATTTTTGTTTAATCAAATTCTTCTGATAGTTCTATCATTGTTTTAAAAGGTATGTAACATT